CGTGGACTTGGGTGCGTCCCGTTCCTCTCGTTGCGGCCGTGGGTCTGTGCTGAGCGCATGGCTCTTTGTTGTGGTGCGACATGGGTGGTGTTGCTTCACCGAGTGCTTTTTGCATGCGTCGTGTGGCGGACTTCTTTCCCGCATGGCACCGCCCCCGTGTGGGGGAGAGTGGAGGGAGCGCGGGTGTGTGGGTGGATGCCGACCCCGCCCGCACATTTGGGGCCTCCACACACGTGTTTTTATTGACAGCCTCTTGCGGCACTCAGGCCGTGGAAAGGGAGAGGGTAGAGAGGTTTTTTCTTGTGTTTTTGATTTTGAGGAAGGATGGAAGCTTTTTCTTCTGTGGTCTTTTTAGTGTTGTTGCCAACAAGTACGAGAAACATAAATTTTAGCAATTATAGGATGGAATTTTGATGCCGTTCCGTGTACGCTGCCCCATTGCCGCTAGTTCACAAAGTATCCACGGCGTGATTTAGTGCGGTGCTGTTCGATGAGGGAGGGCGATGATGTCACTGTTGTGATTGCATCTGCGCGTCTTCTTGTCTGTATGTTGGCGGTCGGGCTGTGGCCGGATGCTTCTGCGTGCCACTGTGTTTATTTGCTGTTGTTCCTACTTTTTCCTTCTCCTCTGACCGAGCATTTAGAGTTACTTTGGCTTCACCAGCACAACTATCGTTTCAAGGTGTTAATTATTAATTGCTGTATTAGGAATAGCAGAATTAGTGGGATAGCGATTTATCGGAATTGTGTATCTGTATTCGCCATCTGAAGAAAGGGGATTTGTTAGACAGGAGTTACGGTTGACGGTGCGAGTGCGACACGCCACGACAGCCCTGTTGGTGCCTGTTTGTGTCGGTGGATGCGGTCTGCGGAAGGTGCGTGTCCGCGCAGCCGGCACCGTGTGCGGCGCAGGGCCATTGCGACTGTGCGTGCGGCGCTGCTTGTGGCGTTGGCGCTGGTTGCGGCGACGGCGTGGGTGCCCGCGGCGCATGCGGTGGTGTTGCGACTGCGGGGCGGCACGGTGGACAGAGCCATCACGGTTGGCCGCGCCGTGGACACGGTGCTGATGGACGGCGTGTCCATCACGAACGGCGTGGCTGTTGTGTTCGACGTGCCGGCGATGCTTCCCGGTGCGCTGCGCATCGAATTGAGGGATTGTGTGTGCGACGGCGGTGCGCAGATCTACGTGCGGGGCTACAGCGGCGAGCCGGCGAGTGACCGGAGCCTGGAGGTGAGCGTGAGCGGGCTGTCCGGCGGCTACTGCTCGCTTGTGTTTGTGCACAACCTGCCGGCACACACGAACGTGACGGTCCGTGACTCGACGATTGTGACGGCGGGGCCGATGCGCTACTCGCAGCTGAGCGGACTGACGGACGCGGTGGCGTCGCCGCTTGTGCTGTACGCGACCTCGCTGTTGCAGTCGCAGCTGCGTGTGAGCAACACTGTGCTGAGGTCGTTGCATGCGGGCGGGTCGGCGGTGTACGTTGGCGGCGGCGTGGACCTGCTGTCGAGCGCGGTGGTGTTTGACGGCGTGTCGCTGGAGGCGTTGGGCGGTCCGACCGCGTCCGCGATGAATGTGGCGTCCTCGTCGATTCTCAGTCTGCAGAGCCTCTCGGTGTTCTCCGTGACGAACGCGTCGGTTGTGAGCAGCGGCGGCGGCATTGTGCTTGGCGAGCGCCTCGAGGTGCTTGATTCGGTGCTGCGCTTCGTGGGCGTCGAGGGGTCTGTTGCGTCGTCGCTGGTGTGCTGCGACGGTGGGACGGTCGGTGCCGGCGGGTGGCTGGACATGCACGACGTGTGGGCGGTGGGCGAGGCGTCGTCTGTGGCGTCGTTGTTGGGTGTGACGCTGAGCGGCGGCACCGTGTCGATTGCGCGCTGCGCTGCCACTGGCGCTACGCTTGTCTCCGGGCTGACGATCGCGAGCGGCGTCGTGTCGGTGCAGTGCAACCGTGCCGGCGGCCGGGTGCTGCGGAGCAGCGGCGACTACCGCTCTGCCGGTCTGTCGTCCGTGAGCGTGGTGCCGTGCGACGGCTGTGCGGCCGCTCTGGCGTGCTTCGATGCGCTGACGGCGTCGTTCTCCGACTGCGTGTGCGGCTGCCGTGCCGGCGGCGTGGGCGACGCGTGCCTGCCTTTCGACGTGCCGGTTGCGAGGGCCGGTGGTGGTGCGCAGGGCTGCGTGAGTGGCGTGACGCTGACGGAGTCGGTGACGGTTGGCGGCGGGCGTGCGACGGCGTGCTTCGACTCGGTGGTGTTCAGCGGACCGATCACTGTGGCGGTGGACCTGCGCTCGATGGACGCGTTCGCTGACGCGCTGAACGTGACGCTGCGCCACTGCGTGTTTGCGGGCGGGTCGCAGCTGCGGATTGGAGGCCTCAGCGAGAGCACGGCGCGCCTGCTGCCCCACGCCCTCGTCAACATGACGAATGTGACGTCGCTGGAGGGCACGATTGTGCTGCATGGCGCGATGCCGCTGAACTCGCGTGTGCTGCTGGCGAACTCAACGCTGCGCGCGACGGTTGGCGGGTCGCAGTACGTGCCGACGACCCGTGGCCATGCGGGATTTCGGTACGGCCCCGCGCTTGTCCTGGACGGCGTCCGTCTGCTGTCGACGCGGTTTGTCATGACGCGTTCGACGCTGGTGTGTGGCGGGGAATTGTGCGCTGCGATCCTCGTGGAGCACGGCCTTGTCGCCAACCTGTCCAGCGTCTTCTACATGGACAACTGCGCTGTCATGTCGCAGGCGCACGTGATGTACGCCCTTGCGTCGGACCTGCGTGTCAGCGGCGGCTCCGTGTTCTCCATACAGAACAGCTCGTGGAGTGCGCCGAGCACCGAGTACTACGGGGGCGCGTGTGTGTTTGGGGACGTTGTGGTGGCTGGCGGCAGCGTGCTGCAGGTTGTGTCCAGCACGTTTCGTCTCGGCTTCGCCATGCTCATGGCAAACACGCTGACTGTGACTGACGGCAGCTGGCTGGTGCACCGCAACAACGAGTTCCGCACCGCCTACGTTGTGTACGTGGCCGACGAAAACGGCGTTGCGTTCCGCGATCAGAGTGTGTGGTCGATAGTACATAACGAGTTCACGCACGGCTCGTTCTTGTCCTTTACTTGTATGACAAGCAAGTGGTCACCACCATCCGACGTGCGCCCGACCATCTACGGCGTGTGCAACGAGGCAAGGGGCTCACCTGTGACGGATTACGGAGTCGACCTCAACATTGAGGCACCCGTGACGGTGCTGGACTGTGGTGCGTGCACGGTGGACGCTGTGTGCTTTGCGGCGAGGACGAGCAGCATCCGCGGCTGTGAGTGCGTGTGCGCTGCTGGCGGATACGGTGGCACTTGTCTGCCAGCTGCGGTTCCGGACGGCCTTGGGCCGCTCCCGCTCCCCGACGCGAAGGACACGGAGGTCCGCTGCGTGCACGGTGGCAGCATCAGCTCCGTGGACTATCCTGATCCCGGTGTGCGTGGTCTGTGCTTCGTCAACGTGACCTTCACCGCCGCGATTGTGCTTGACTTGTGGAGCTTTGACGCGCCACAACAGACACTCAACATCACGCTGCTGCAGTGCGTTCTCATGGGCCTGTTGATCAAGGGGAGTGGTGCGCGCGTGCACATGAACGTGACATCCTCGATGTTGGATTCTGGTGAGTTGGAGTTCAGGGGTGATTTTGGCGTGAGCTCCCTGATACTGGTGGCGGGCAGTACGCTTCTGTCGACGTCGAGTCACGCCATTGCATTTTTGGATTTTTACTTCAGTGCGAATTTTACGCTGCTGCTGCTTGACAATTTCATCGAAGGAAGTAGTTACGCGGTCTATTTTTCCGAAGCTGCTGTTCTTGATGGTGGCGGGATTATTGTGAAGGGAAATACGCTGAGGGCAACGGAGGGGGGTATCGGTTTGGAATCATCTGTTTGCGTTTACGCTGTTGTGAAGAACGGCGGCTACTTTGACGTGGAGAAAAACACGATGAGCGCGGCTAATGGTGTTTATGTTTTTGGTGATACTTCCGTGAGCTCCGCTGGACTGCTGAGAGTGGCGGACTGCATCTTTGTTGGCCGAACGAAGGGTTTGTATTCCTCTCTTTTGTATTTGGACGGATCGGTGACACTCGAGGGAGGTGCGCAGTGGCGTTTGGGGGGCAACAGCGTGGGTGCAGCCTCAGTATTAACTATTCCGTATTCCTGGCAGAAAATTAAACTGTCGGACAGCGGCACTATCGTGGCGCTTGCGTCCAACCGTCAGTTGGAAGATACTTATCCCTTTGCTGATCTGGTTCCGTCAAACACGATCGTGAAGCCGCCCGCGCGGTTTGTGGTTGGGTGCAACCTGCAGGGCGATGAGGAGGTGTCGTACGACGGTTTGTTTCCGGAGGACGTGGTTGTGTTCAGGTGCGGCACATGCAACGACGACGCGGCGTGCTACATGCCCGGGACGGAGTCGGTGGACCGCAGCTCGTGCTCGTGCAGCTGCAAGGACGGATGGCATGGCGCGTCGTGTCTTCCCTTTGAGGTGCCCGACACGGTTGTGCCATCCTTGCCGGAGAGGGCCGTCGACGGCGACACGAGCTGCGTGGTGAACCAGACGCTGACGAACCTCACGCTGAACATGTGGAAGACGCACCACTGCTACGAGGGCGTGACATTCAGCGGCGTGGGTGCAGTTCTGACCTTTTTTCTTGACAGTATGCCGCTGCATCTCCCAATCAACATCACGCTCACTGGGTGCACATTCCTTGATGGGGCTGTTCTGCGGTTTGTTGGGGGTGCTGAGGCGGCCGAGTCAGCGGGCGTCCTGATCCGTGTGGGCCAGGCGGTGATGCGGTCCTCTTTTGTTGCTTTTTCACTTGCCTTCCCGCTGCGCTGCGATATTGCCGTCACGGAGGTTGACGCCGTGCAG